GAGGAATTTCAAATAGTTAATTTGATACTAATATCGATATATTTTTGTCAAATTTTTATRATATCTTCAAACATATATTTTATTCAAAAATAAAAACATTATCGCTTTCTCAAAATCACATAAAGYCATATTATAATATCGATTGAGATAAAGAAGAAAATGAAATATTAAAATCATGATATATCTCGCTGCATTGCGCGAGTACGCTTCTAGTATAGTATAGATATAAATATAAATTTATTAATTTAATTAATATTAATAATGAACTACAATGGCCAACAAACAAGTATTTATAGATAACAATTAGATTCCGATATTACAACTTCTCAACATGCAACAATACATATACACCTCTCATTGATAATAAAAAATGCAAAGGCAAATTGAGTCAACAAAAGCTCAAAAGCACCTTATACATACAATTGGTTTTACTAACTACGATTGTATTAAGTTGAATCATTGTTGATTAAGACTGACTTGATCTATTAATTAGAAAGATGTTTCTAAAATAAAGAAAAGATGATCGTTTAGCTATATAACCTTAATGATATTTTAATTAAATTCATAACTTTATGATGTTAAAAGAAAAATGACTTTACGTTCATCAAAAGATCATGTATTTAATTAAAATCTCATTTAAGGGGTCATTTACCTAAATACTTACCCGTTAAGAGTTTACGGATAAAATTCAACATAATCACTTACTTACCGATTAAGATATTAGTCCAGTAAAAATATGCAACATTTTTCCCAGTAAACACTAACATTGGTAAGTGTGTTGCCCTCGCTTACTAGGTAAGACTATCGGTCATTGTCTTCGTTTTTACCGGGTAAGAAAAGTTTACTCAGATAAGCGTTTTGTAAACGGCCCCTGAATATATGTGGGTTTTAGGAGTGGTTATTGAGACGAGATGTGGGTTAATAAGAGATTTAGGGGGAGTGGGTGTAGAGGGGGGTTGCAACTATGCTTAACAAGTTGTAGCTGATGCATAAAGTACTTGCACATGATATTGCACGAATCATTTCGATTATGAAGCCGAGAACTCGAAACGACAATATTGTTTTAAATTTTGTTTTATTCTCTGTCCCTCTTGATGCTAATTTTATAGTTTGTTATGATTTCAAATCCCATATCAGATAATTTTGAAACATAATAGTTCAATAACAAAATTAAAATGTTCTATTGGTAAAAGATTTTGAAATAGAATAGTTTAATAACAGTGTTTTTAACCAAAAGCATTTGTTGTTCTTGTCTTTTAAAGATCGACTTATGCATTAATTACTAATTAGCGGTTTGTAGTTTTTACAACTTGTAATTGAAAAAATGTAATACAATCGAAAACAAATTTATCGGTACAGAAATTCCACTATTCTCCGAAGTCTTGGTTGTTTGCAAGTAAAATGTTGTCTTGAAAGCTAAATAGAAAATACAATGGTTATGATCTATCAAAATCACTCCACGTAGTTTATCCGAAGATTAAAATCTTGAAAGAATTTGAGGACCTTTTTTTTTTACCACGTTCCACATAAGGCATGAAAGAAATCCTCTTGCAATGAACGTCAAGTGTGTGATGCAAGTGGCAGTGGCAACAAGTTGTGACCTTTTACCACAACATACGGAGATTAGAACCATATACCATTGGCAGAAATTCACCACTCTCATCTGTATGACAAAGTGCACAACAATATAACGAATTAAAATCCCGAAATTTTTATATAAGAATATATATACAAATTTCGCAATAACAAAATTTATGTTGTTGAAGATTTCATATATTATCATCAATGTATGTGCAAGTTGTTACAAATTATCATCGATATAACCACAAGAGAGGTGCCTGATTGGTTTGAGTTTGGCTCCAAAGGTCAAAAATACCTAGAGGTCCCAAGTTCAAATCCAATGATGAATAAATATCCCCTTGTGGCCACAGAGGTTCAAATGCCGTGACTCCGGGCTATCTGCAAAGCATGTGGTCGCCATGAGATTAGTCGGCTCACATAGCGGGTTGGATATCCAGGTTAATCAAAAAAGTTATCATCGATATAAACTATATATAGTCCTTAATAAAGGTATAAACAAATTCTCCAATCGTAGCAAAGACATTTTTGTACTCTTCCATTATAAAAGTTAAGTGGACGAATGCTAGACATGTACGAAAGTACAAAACTTCAGTCATATCAAATTACGAAAGATTAAAATAGAAGTAATGTTGATACTGAACATAATTGACACCAGTACTTATTTGAGCATGCGAATTGAACTTATATGGAAAATGATGCCAAAAAGAAGAAGTTCCAATATGGCAAATTAGGTTTCCGTGTAATTTGCTCTATATAAGAAGACCAGGTCAAAGGTTCATAGCATCTTACCACTTTCCCAGTTGGTTAATATATGTACATATAGAATACGATGACTTAACGATATTTTTGTTGTCGGGCACGACAAGGTTCACATGGCTAACGCATTCATAAGAAAATTCTCTCGAGTACATCCATACAAATTGGGTCATCAACAATGTAGAAAACACAAATTATATGGGAAATTACGGGATGGAATCACAGGTGATTTATCCAAGAACTTATGTGTGTACAGGTTGGGGTTTGAGTTAACGATCTATCATAAATATTATCATAAATGATGTTGATGTGATTCGAACTCGAGTATGAGATAGAAAAAGGGTATTCTCGTTGTGTTTTAAAATATATATAATGACACACAACAAATTAATACGATAATTTTTTTTTTTATTAACCTGAATATCCAACCCGCTATACAAGCCGACTAATCTCAGGGCAACCATCTGCTTTGCAAATAGTCCGGAGTCACTGTATTTGAACCTTCGTGACCACAAAGGGATTTTTTATTCCTCATTGAATTTGAACCTGAGACCTCTTGATACTTTTAACTTTTGGAGCCGATTTCAAACCAATCAGGCATCATCCTTGTGGTTTACGATAATACTTTTTACAAACTTATTAACACAGTGTCCTGATTTTGCCTGTCTATTCTAATTTCTAACCAGCTCATAGGTCGAATAAAACCCATATGCTGGCCGACCCCGGTCCAATTTTCCTTAACTTAAACCCTAGCCCTGGTCCATACCATTATCGGAGTCCCTCTAGCATCAACGCCTTTGTATTCAACCATGCCTGGTGCGGAAGGAGGTCCGCCGGAGGTGACCCTGGAAACATCGATGGGTTCTTTCACCCTGGAGGTAGATATTTGATTCGTCTGAAGTTTTCTTACTGTTACAAACGATTTTTAGACAAATTGATTGATGTTTAACTTAACTTGACCAGATGTACGATAAGCACGCCCCTAGAACTTGCAAAAACTTCGTTGAGCTATCTCGAAGGGGGTACTACAACAACGTTAAATTCCACAGAATCATCAAGGTATGTAACCCCAAACATCCCTATTTTTGACCAAGTGTGTGTGTGTGTGTTAAGTAATGATAATGCGTCCACAACGTGCTAAGTTTGTATGGAAATTTTTGGTTTTTTGACTTCTGGAATAGGATTTCATAGTTCAAGGAGGTGATCCTACTGGCACAGGAAGGGGTGGAGAATCGATCTATGGGTATGTGTATGGCTAATCACATACTAGTTTTCAGCTCGAAGAAAGCTCTATTTAGGTTTTCTATGGTGTAATGATACGAATTTGATAGATTTGAAGATTATTGGAGTTATCTGTGCTTCTGTAAAATCAATCAAATCTGCTCAATTTATTTTAGTAAAAAAGGGCATGTAAATGTCATGTTTTCTGATATAAAAGATGGATGTCAAAAGTTACATTAAGATTAAATTTCAAGAATAGACTGATTTGTTCTTGATGTATTCTATTGTATGAACAAAATTTGTGCTTATGCTTGTAAAGGCGTTGTTCTATGTTCCCAGAAATTGGATTGTTCTGTTGACATGAGTGTTTATTGTTGAAGCTCGAAGTTTGAGGATGAGATCAACTCAAAGCTGAAGCATACTGGAGCTGGTATCATATCTATGGCTAATGCTGGTCCAAACACAAATGGGAGTCAGTTCTTTATCACCTTGGCACCAGCACAATCTCTTGATGGTAAGTAATCATCTCATCTGCAAAGTTATCATTTTGGATCAACTGCTTCATCTTTTTCTGGGTTGATGGCTTTACTTTTGTCAGAGGGATGTTTCTGATTTACACTTTTATCCGCATTAAGTTTGCATATGATGTCTGATCAATGATGAATAAAGTAATGAAGTTCAAGTCACACTATGCACTTGTTATTGTACCTGATTGAACGAAGCAATGTGTGTGATTCTGATGATTGCTTTCTGTAATCCGAAACCCAGTTTTAGTTTGGCATATGATATATTCTTTTTGTAATATTGGCATAATTTAATGTGTTTCAACAACATGTGCATGTTTCAACATGTGTAGAACTCTGCGTTTATCTGCTTTTCTTTACCTATGCAATCTACAACACTGGCCAATATAGCAACGCTTGTTTAGTATTAACATATGTTCTCATTATTGACAGGAAAACACACGATATTTGGAAGAGTATGTAGAGGAATGGAGATTGTCAAGAGGCTTGGTAGTGTTCAGACTGATAATACCGATAGGTCTGTTGCATTCTTGAGCTCTTTTATCCATTGTTTATAACGTTTTAGTTTTTTATTAGACATTTTGTGACAGCCACAAACCTTTGCATATGCATCAATAAGTAATGAGACATTGGGAGGAATGCCTTAGGAGAGGTAGGGGTAGCTTGAAATTGGCCCGAGGATATATGCTAACAATTTGCCTTACATAAAAGAGGGTGGATTTTTTAGTTTGGCTTCATCTTTGTAGAATTTGATGCATACTTTTTTTTTAACAAACATCTGTTTGACTACATATTGTCAAGTAAAATGAGTTTTGGCCATTATGCTGCAGGAGTTATTTGTTTAGCCATTGTATCTGATGTCCCGACCATTGTTTTGTTTGCTTACCTGTCTTTCTTGTTTGTCAAAGAAGGAAGTAGTTTGATCAGTTTACTCACAAGTCCTACTTGAGGGTAAATGTGTTGAAAGTTGTTGGTTTTTAGTGGGCAAAAAAGTCATTGGTACATGAGACATGGGGACCAAACAAATAATTTTATCAATAGAGATGGCCAAAAGATGCTTTAATCAATAATATAATGCCAAACAACTTTGTGATAGGTTTTTTGCTTACACCAAGTCCCCAACAATGGTGAGTGAACTGAAATAGGAGTTCATGACCCTCTTGTTAAAATCTTTTTTGTACCAAATTCGAACAATGCTTGGATACGTTGCTTGCGTTAGATCAATATGGCATTTTGGTGTTCAAAATGGTGTCATTGTGAGCATGACCCTATTTTTTAAGACGTGCTCTTTCTCTTGTGATATATCACTATATAGTTCAAATAATCCAATAGGTATTGACATCGGACAACTCAATCTGTTTTTGATTACTAATCATGTGTATTCTCGACCTCGTCCAAGAACGCACTTTGTTGGTTTTATATGCATATTTGCACCATGTGTGATTATCTTTAGATGACTTCCTCTATTCTTTATCTATTCTAAATGTCTTGATCTGTCCAGGCCAATCCATGACGTGAAAATACTACGAACAACAGTTAAAGATTGATCCTTGTTGGTACTTTCAGATTTAAGGCCTCTGATGCTGGCAGTGGTTATATTACTCACATCAAGGTATTTGTTACTACCCATGAAAGTAATTGACAGATAAAGGCTACATATGAGGGCAATTTAACATGAACCTCAAAGGCACTGAAATCATTAGATCTTGTAATGTGATACTGCAACAAAATGACTGTTTGTTTGCTTTCCTCTATCTAGATTTGGTCAAGTTATTGGTTTCTTAGCCTTTGCACATAAAGATATTGTTCTCATATGAAAGTATTTGAACCCATTATCTGTGAGGTATTACCACCTTCTTTTTGTCTTTGTGCATAAGTTGATTTAATGAATGAGAAGATGCAGATATTTAAAAAGGTTAAATATTAAAAAACAACCCAAAAAAAAAAAAAGATTTTGGCTCCCAACAGAGATCAAAGATCTCGTGTCTAGAGTGGGAACCCTACATACCTTCAGAATTATAATCAAATCCATTTGAAGACTATGTTGGTCAGATTGGGGGTAGCTTACAATAATATGAGCAGATACACATGTTGCCATTGCATTTTCCAACACCAAATGGCTCTCTTTTGGCACACCTGTGATGGCATCTCCACAGCTCACATTTCCCCCCACCAATCCTCTTTTGACACATGTGTTCCGGGATTCTAATTGCATGAGCACCACCAATCACTGCGACTATGGTTGAGCAAGCTGTTCATCCCAGAAGATTTTTTCATGTTTTTTAGAAGTTAAGAAGAAACAATCAATCAACTGATAATGGACTTGGATACAATAATTGAATGAAAAATCATAAGCAAAAAAGAATGGAGAAGGGAAAACCTGAAAAGAGAAGTAGCAGGAGCAGCAGAGAGAGGAATCTGGTTGATTTTGATGTCTTCATTTTCAGATTTGATGGTTAGGCTTAAGGAAGGTATGTATAACCAACTATAAAGCATTATCTTTATACAATTTGTAAGCCTCTACTTTATTCTGTTCTCTTTAATCGTTACTGTGAGTTAATTTAATTGAATAACTCAAAGAACTTAATACTACCTCTATTTTAGCCCAAGAACTTTCAGAAATCATATTCATGGACCTTTAGAACCATACATGTTGGTCATAAGGCTGAGATGACGTTGTCATTATAATTTCATATAAGCGTTTGTTACCCGTTACACTGAAAAGGTAGTCAAAGGGATAAAATGAACAGTTCTTTTTATAAAGTATGGATTCTCGACTAATCTTGTGGAGCCCTGAAGATAAGAACCGGGAAAATCCTTAGTGGCCTTAAGGAGACTTGAATTGGCGACTTATGTGGAGGATCTCCAAGGCCTAACATTTATATGCCAGCTGAGCTGCCCCTCAAGATATGGATTAATATATGGCAGATAAGCAGATTAGTTATTAAGTTGCATAATGTGATTTTGATTTTTGAGGATGAGTCAAAAGATTGTTAGGTAGTTTTTTTAGAAAAAATGTTTTTATTTTTTATTTTTTGAAGTATATAATATTTATATACGACAAACGCAACAAATAAACTCACACACACTCCTCACTTATGGTGAGGTTTGAACCCCTGACCTCCTAGAAGGCCAAGGGCTACGATACCGCTAGGCCAAAGGCCGTTTGGTAAATGTTCTTTTCTTTGTGGTGACTTACTCTCTTTGGCTTCAACGTCACTTGTGAGCAAATGGAAAGATGATGGATGCTTCTCTGGACAGGTGGTGACTTGAGGATATAAAGCTCTTCAAATGCTTTTGCTTTTGAAACTTATTTAGATTAGATTAAAGAGACAATGAACCTTCTCATTCATCCCAAAGTAACTCATTGCATCATCTATCTGATACTAAAAAATGTAACCGAGCCCTAGGGACCGATTCAGGCTCAACCGAATCCAGCCTGGTCTCAATCTGAACCGGTAAAGGGCGAGTCAAAGACCTTCCAGCCTAGTGGTAAAGGCTTGGGCATGACATAGTCATGAACCCGAGTTCGAGCCCTGGGAGTGGAGTGTTGGCGACATTTAAGTGGGGCCATGTTTAGCCTCTAAATTTGCCGGGGATTAGTCGGGTTTTGGCCCGGACACCCTTACAAAAAAAAAAAAAAAGGGCGAGTCAATCTAACTCAACCGGGTCTACCACGCAGTATGTACGGGTAATCCCTAACCAAGGAGGCATCCTTGTGATACATGTACGGTTCTTTGCATCTTCGCGGTGCCCACTTATTTAATATACCAGTGTCATGATATTTGACAACACACACGTCACCGACATGCTTTTATGCGTAACCTCGAACCATATATGTTTATAACATGCTTTAACTAAAACACGTAATATATAGAATTACAAAAGCATGTAATGTTAACGTGACCGTAAATCATGATTTCAAAGCATGCTCAAAAAAAGATATTTTACATATGTACCCCGTTTTGAAAATCACATAGTACTCGCATTAATTTCGAGGTTATCGACTTCAACGAAATAAGAAACTGAAATCACCGTTAACTTCTTTTTCTCGAGTTGATTAAAGACCCACGTTCGATATTTCGTCTCAGTAGTTGAAAATCTACAACTCTTAGGTATGGTGTTTGTGATTGCTTATAAAAATAACTTGTTGACTTATTTGGATGTGGTATCGGTAATGAACATTTTTGAGTGTTTGGATAAATAACTTATATCGATGTCAAATTGATAATAAAGAATTTTTAAAGAAGTTAAACTTAATGAGTTGATAATAACTCTTTTCAAAGTCAAAATACTCTATGTAAGGTGGATTGAGGGATGTATCACACCCTTTTGTGAATGTCTCACATTTCATCCATGTGAGAGACTTGAGAGTCTGCCAACTTTTTATAGTATACAACTATGCATACACGTCTAGATGTCCTATACATACACGTGTATACACGTGTATGTGTTCATATATACCAGAAAGATACTTATATAATATAGTCAAATACATTTTAATTTTAATGTTTTGTTTATTATTTGTCTCTACAGATGTTATAATACGATTTTATGTGGTTTCTAGAAAATAATAATATTTTTATTTTTAAATATTATAGAGATTTGAAAAAAAAAAATATCGATATTGATATTAAATTAACTATTTAATTATTATTTTTGTTTTGTCGTGTAATTTTATTAATTCAATATTTTTATTATAATTTAATTTAAGTTTAATAATAAAGTAATTTATATTTGGTTTTTTTAATAATAATATATATATTTTTTATAAATATAATAATTAAGTATTATGTTAGAATTTCATTATTATTCTAATTATATTTTAAATTTTTTATATTTAAAATAAGATGTTTATTTTGTATTTAATTATGTTTATCTGCAGTTAGTTACACAAATTCAAACATGAAGTTTTAATAGGTTATACTTACGTCAAATCAACTTATAATCTTGAACTTTAAGTAATATACATCAATAAACAATATTTTATGGATATAAAATTATTTTTAAAAGTTTTTATCAAATGCTTTATAATATAGTATAGTTAGGAGGTATTCTTTTGAGAACTATAAAATTTGAGATCCGTAAGATCCAATTTAAACCATCAATTGTATTAAATTAATTGGTAAATTAGAAAAATAAAAAATTAGTAATTTTAGCAATTTCAAAATTAAAATTTTGAATAAAGATTATCATGCAATTTTACAAGTTCTCTCTCCTCTCATTAACAACATAATCTAGAAACAAATAGAACTAACACAAATAATCTAACACAATGTGAACGTCACGTAACCTAATAAGTATCATCGAGTAACACATTGTAATCACAAGTGAATACAATGTGAACAAAAAAACATCAAAACCAAAAAAACATCAGATCACTAAAAACATTTTATAAAGACTTAGATATAAATTGTGAACAAAATCAATAATCAAGTTTGAATACATGTCAAACATTTTCAATAAACTCAAACCAAAAATCATATCATCACGATGTAAAACACTATCAAATATATTGTTTCAACTAATAACATGACCACCTATTTATTTTAGACATTGTGATCACTTATTTTTTTTTACACATTATAATCACCTTGTGAATACAACGTGACACAATACAAAAACAAAAAAACCCCAAAAAAGACGGTAAAAATCCTTAAAAGCATTACATAAGGACTTGAATACACATTGTGAACAATTAATTAATATTTTATTTGAAGAGTTATGTTATAGGTTTTTTTATTTATAAATTAATTATATGTATTTATGAATTGACTAAATAAACTTTTATATTCATTTCGTAAATAACATAATTATCTTAAATAATGCTTTCTTCATCTAAAATAAATGTCTATAATGAAAAATATATAAAGATTTAGAAATATGTAACTATTACACTTTTAATTAATAAAAAAACAATTTTACGCTTAATTATAGAGAAAAATATTCTCTATTTCTAAAATTAAGGGTAGAATAGGAAAATAAGCATTTACTTTTGAAAATTGACACTTATTTTGGAACAAACTAAAATAACAACATAGACACTTATTACAGGACGCATGAAGTATAGCTTTTGACTTATAACAAGTCTCAAGGGCTTTAGGCCTTCTATCTCACACTTGCTCAACTCAGTGAAGCCACAAATAATATCTTCGTTCTATCTTGTGCTCGTCTGGCCTGTGATCATTTTGCGAAATATACCTGTTATTTGTTTTGGAACATTTTTTAGACTTGCATATAAAAGTTCAATGAAACTTCGTTATTCATTTCGATTCAATTACATATATATCATGTGTACTGGAACTCTGAATTATATGGATGACTAAAACTGTATTTAGGTTGATTATATGTATTATGATGTTATTTTGATTGTATACGTCACTAGGTATTAGGAATAAATCATATCACACCTTTGATGCATTCTTTTTTTACATTTTGAGACATGTGCGTTTTGGCTTATGGTATGAGAAAAAACTGAAACCGCATACACGGTTTGATAGATGGGTGCTCTAAACCGCGCCACATAGATTTTTGTTGTGTTTCTATATCCTTTTCGGAACTGAAAAACTCTCTTATAAGTATGTATTGTGCGACAGTTACTTTGACAATTAGCGAGTTACAAACATCCTAGGTCAACCTTTCAAATCAGCTTCAGTGAGGACATTCGTTGGTTAGTTGCAGTGAGTGCAGTCACTCGTCGGCATCAATGGCAAACTAGCAGTCACTAGTCAACTTCAGTGACTCAACACACTCACCGAAGGCAAACACTAAAAAGCTTAAGGTGTTGAATGTAAGCAATTGACTCTGCTAAGGGGCATTCTTGACTCCTATCATTCATCAATTCCAGTTTTAAGTTAGTTTATATGAGTATGTTCTCTGATCTTCATAACTTGTATTATAACTTAACCAAACTTTCAGTTTTAGGTAATTCTCAGTCACACTAACACTAAACTCAACAACACCTACATTCTCGCTATTGTTAAAAAAGGCATTAAAACATGAAAATGCATATTGAAAATGAGGTATGAATGTGCGCGTGTATACCCACACACATATACATACACACACACACATATATATATATATATATATATATACACACACACACACATAAATACTTATATAGGGGGACCTTCTTTAAATTGTAATAACCTTGAGAACTAGTGCATCATGTACTATTTCATATGATTTTTTTCCATCTAAGACGAGGATTTAAAATATCGATTAACATATATTTGTTTCACAGTGTTTTTGTTTTACAATGTGAACTTTTTTAGCATGTTTGTGATACAAAATGTACATGTAAAAAAAAATTCACATTATGAACCACACACATATGAAGCAAATACATTATATGTTCATTAATACATTAAATGTTAGACTTAGACGAGGAAAAATCATATGAAATAATATCTTAAGATAAAAGTTCTCACTGTTATCACAATATATGAAGTTCTCAAATGATTAAGCCCTTATATATGGGGGTTGATCAATTGTTAACCTGATAATTGATGTTAACTATGTGAACCAATCATAACCTTTAATCTTTGTAATCTATAGATTAAATTCATTCGGGCATTTTTTTTAATAAATCAAAAAATTATGCTTAATAAACATATGTGAACAATCACGAACAAAGGGTAATTTTGGAAAAGATTAGGGGGGGTTCTTTTAGCATCAATTACTTTCCCAGTAGTTACTCCTTCATTGGTTCGAAACCAATCTCAAGCTCTGTTACTCCGATTCACCTATGAACACAATCTCAATATTGTCGTTATAAACAAGGTTCAACTTTTTCAAATATGTGGTAATCCTCACCTATGAACACAATCTTAGTTTTATCGTTATAAACAAGGTTCACTTTTCAAAATGTGGTAATCTGGTTCGTCTTTTTTGCAAAATTGGTATGTGGCAATCTGGTTCACCTATGACCACATTAGTTTTGTTGATATGTGATAATTTGATTCACCTACGAAAACCTGTTTTTATCAAATATGCGAACCTGTTCTATGAACATTGTTCACATTTTCAACTATGAACGGCTTCATTACTCTTTTCCAATTTTGAACAACGTTTATTTTGGTGTTCAATAACAAACTTTTTGAAATTGGCCAAGAAACTTAAAAAAGATATAAATAAAAGAATAATGAACTGTGGATATGGTCCCGTGTTCTAAAATATTTTTCAACAAGGTCCCTGTGGTATGTTTATTGTCGATTTTGTCCTTATGTATTCAATTTGTTTTGGTGGTCCCTCAAACTAATACATCCATTAACTCCGTTAAATCAAGAACCGTTTTTGCCATCATACATATATACATATTTGTGTGTACAAATATAAAATTTACTTTTTTTAGGCAAGAATCCTCCATATGCATTCTACAAAAATACCATTTCCAAAGAAATAATGGCAACAAAAACCGCATCCAATCACATAAATTCTGAGACTGTTTCAAAACTCTCAACTCATTACCATAATGAACGCATCCATCAAGTCTAAATTAAAGATGAACAACATAAAAACACATATAAATGTCATGAAACAAAAACCAAATTTGGAATCATCTTTCAACTTAATTAATAACCACCCTTGAGATCATTCACAACATCGTAAGGAATGGGCGTTACCGTCTCTAGGGTCGTACCTTCAACCATAAACCCGGGTTTCGGCCCAACTGGTTGCCTCTTCGTACTGATCACCTCACCCTTGGCCTTCGCCTCCGCCTTTAGTTGATCGTTCTTTTTAACTCTCTGTTTGAACTCTTCCGTGCACCTGGATGGCATCACATGCTCAATTCGCACGTGAATCCTCTTCTTGATGATCCTGTTACCAACCTGTATTAACATATATACATACATTTTGTCATATGTCACATTGGATAAAAATTGATAATTGCATAAATTCGAGGCAATCCGAGGATAAAGTGTTCCCTTCAAGAGGGCTTCGATTCAAAACCTGCTCTTAACAAAGATTTCCATTTTTAGCTTTAGATAGTGAGTTTTAATTAGCTTTTGCTTTAACCACAAGTGTAATGCCTGATTGGTTTGAGCTTGGGTCCAAAGGTCAAAAGTACCAGGAGATCCCAGGTTCAAATCCAAAGAGGAATAATAATCCCCTTGTGGAGATTCAAATGCGATGACTCCGGGCTATCTGCAAAGCAGATGATCGCCATGGGATTAGTCAGCTCATATAGCAAGTTGGATATCCAGGTTAATAAAAAAAATTGGTTCAAATCAGAGTTGCAAAGAATCAAAGCCAAGACTTCTCTTTGGAAATACAAGCAACTAACCAACTAAGCTATAAACTTTATAAGGTTTTGTCAAAAATGTATTTAATGATCATGAAACACCAACTCACTAATCAATAACATTGAACCAGTACAATTCCAGAAAGCAATGGCATTGTGCATATGATGAACAACTGTTAAATTGTTGGTATTTCCTATCCACAATTCGCAACTAATGAAACCACCTATATGAAGTTGTCCTGTGTAAAACAATTGACATTTACATCAATTCAATCGCATGCAAAGTCATTATCACATTATAATGCTTTCAAATCAAATGAAAAAACTAGCAGCTTGATTGATAGCGTTAAACGCATAAATCAAACACGAAAACTCAGAGAGAACCCCCAAATCTGTCGAATCAATTCTCCAAACTAAGTGTCACGGATATTTGCAACAGCAACTAACATTTATAACTAAACAGACAAAAGAATTCACACCATACATATATAGTGAGATATGGGAATGGACATTGACCTGTTTGTTCATTTCAACGCCGATGGCGCGCTTGGTGACGTTCCAGACCTGACCGGTGCGGCCATGATAGAACTTATGAGGCATACCTTTATGAACGGCGCCGTTCACCTTGATATCAACATAATCTCCGACGTGATAGGTTCTGAGATAAGTAGATAGATGAATGGTACCCTTCTTTCTGAAGCCTCTTGCGAACAGATCCCTGGTCCTCGATCGCAATCCATGTCCCGCCGGCATCTTTCCCTCTGTCGATCGATCACAAACAAAACAAAATCGAGCAGAAGCGACTATAAAACTGTGGCGCGCTTTATGAGATGGTTGATTGCTAGGGTTTTCAATTGGGCCTAATGGGCTTTCACTTATTGGGTCTTGATGGATGAGCCTTTTTTATGATTTGTGGTTAATCGGGATAAATTAACAATATTTCATTTTTCTTTGGTAAGTTTTGGGCTGGATTCGTATCAGCAAATTATGTTTAATATATTGTGAATGTGAGGTACGGTAAGTTAAGTTTTAGGGTTTGATTCGTAAAATGTTTTTTTGAAGGTATAAAATATGTTAAAAGAATTTGATTTTGAAGGAATTTGAATGGAATTTGACCGTATGTTTGGTTGGAATGAGATTTGTTAAATAATTGGAAATCTGCTTGTTTGGTTGGTATTTATGTAGCTTCGTAATTGGAATAGATAAATGATAAGTTACCAAAATACCTCTTTTGTAACGGTAGTAGTCGACGATGGTTCAGATCGATGGTGGTCGGCGATGGTTCAGAGGGTGGTGGTCAACGATGGTTCAGATGAAAGTCGTCTGGGTCTGGATAAATCAAGTAGGGAAAATGAGGATAATTTTGCCTTTTGAGAAATTGGGGTGGAATAGAATTGAATTCCTTCTTTGTGATAGAATGATCAAATCCATGAAGGATGAGATATGTGGATGCCTAAATGGAATTTGATCAATGTAATTGATCATTCCAATTCCTTCAGTTTCCGTTGGAATCACGCAAACCAAAGGCCCCCTTAAGCGTTAGGAACCACAATAACGAGGGGCAGATATATGGAGAGGGGAGCAGGCTCATGTGCACTGTTCACTTGATTATTGAAAAAGAGGAAAAAAAAAACGGCGTCTGGTTTTGAGGGATGTCCTTAAATACTTTACAACCAAATTTATAACATAAATTAAAACTATTAGAATGGTTCGGATTAGCACTTTATACACAAAAGGTCATGAGTTTAAATATTATTTCAAGTAAAAGATTAATTTTTTATCTTTTAATTTTAAGTTCGTATTACCAGCCCAAAATATCAACTCAGGGCCTACAATATTTTTTTTGAAAATATTAAGTGCAAAAATATTGTTAGAATAATCAAACTCATAACCTCATGTATAGTTATAGACATTATTACCATTATGCCAAGACAATATTTTATTAATTTTTCCACATTTTGATTTCATTAATTTTTCATAATTATTTTAATTTTCGATGCAAATTCATCTTAAAAATCATCGACTTTATCTCATTTTCAAGACAAAATATATTTATTTTAATGATCAATATCGATTTTCATTAGAAAAAAATGTATTTTATTCTCCAAATCGATACAATTGACTACTCTCTGGGCAAACCACGTTGACTTTCCCCTAAGTAAAACTATGATTTTGTTGACTTATCTTAAAGGTGCATTTGCTCTAGATATATTCATGGTTCTGTCACTGACGACGAGACCACAACATTGTTCAATAAATGACTTGTAGTAGCCGATATTATATGTGTGTGTGTGTGGAGATTCTCGTAAATCTGACTTCTAGTATTGTAGCATGGTTCTGAAATCTAAAACTCGAACCCTCAATCATGATTCATACTTTTTTCTGTTGTTTATCTTTCTCAAATTTATTTTACAATTTTGAGAAAGGTGTAGACGGATTAGTTATTACTAGAACAGTTCTCGTGCAATGCAGCAAGACATATCTCAATTTTAATGTTCTATTTTATTATATGTTTCTGTCGATATTATAATACGGTTTTATGTGTTTTTAAGAAAACAATAATGATTTCATTTTTGAATAAAATATAAATTTGAAGATATCATAAAAATTTGAAAAAAATATATCAATGTGAATATCAAATCAACTATTTAAAAGTTCTCATTTTTTATGTAACTTCTTTAATTTATTTTTTTATTATAATTTAATTTAAGTTTAATAACGAAATAATTTATTTTTGGTTTAATAATATAACATTTTATAAAGATAATAATTAATTATTCTGTTAGAACTCAATGATTATCCTAATTATATTTTATATTTTTTATATTTAAAATTAGATGTTTATCATGTATTTGATTATGTTTATATGGAGTTAGTTACACAAATTTTGATATGAAGCTTTAATAAGTTGTACTTATGTACAATCTACTTGCAATCTGGAGTTTTAAGTCATATGCATTAATAAGAAGTACTTTATGCATAAAAAGTGGTTTTTAAGAGTTTTTGTCAAATGCTTTATAATATAGTATAGATTTTATCTCTCTCTCTCTCTCTCTATATATATATATATATGTGTGTGTGTGTGTGTGTGTGTGTGTGTGCGCGCGCGCGCATGTGTGTGTGTATATATATCAATATAGGCTTTTGATAACATCAATTTTGGTGTTATTTCGGCACCACCTTCTATGAGATTTTGCTTGAGTTCTAAGCAAAGGAAGCATATTTTTCACAGTTTATTGCAAATATCGCATGTGTAAATCATTCGAAGCAAATCTAACGGAATTGGGCATTAATTGAGGAAATAATGACAGAATTGAGTAGTTGTATTTCAAGGGCCAAAGTGAAAAATTGTTGAAGTGATGGGATGAGTCAAGTCCATCCAAGAAGTGAAAAGTCAATATAGTGATCAGGGCTACTTTCCAAGCTAGTTTGATGGGTCAAGCTAGTTTGGAATTCTCGGGCTAGTTTGTTCTCTAGATTAAACCAGCGACCAAAATAGCAAACACCTCTGAGTCGAGTTAAATCATTATCATAGCTAGGATTGGGGGCAGTTAGCATTCTATCTCAAAGAGGGGCGAGAAGAGGCGATTTTGGGGGGACTCTTTCATCATAATTACGACGGATTGAAGCAACGTGTCCATTGTGAAGCATTTCGTTAACGAAGATCAATCCATTATTCGTGGGTATTGCGATTCAAAGGGAGTTCTTACATCTTTTAGATTTTTGTTCGAGAGATCATTGTTTAGATTCATGAATTATTCTATTGTTTTGCGTTATAATACCTCCAACATGAACTTATCTTTAGAGGTTGGGGGTTGAGTTACTCGTGGATTATAAAAATATGAACATATAAAGTTGTGATTTTTGTTAGATTTCTCTATTTAATGAAGCGTATGATTTAAAGTTTAATGCTCTTGTGAATCTGATCAGCTTTCAATTGATTTGTTCGTTATAAGTGAAATTCGAGATAATTAAATTGTAACTAGAATTGGAATTATATGCCTAAGGTGAGAACTTTGATAGAGATATACCAATTAAGCCTTAATACAGTTTTACAATCTTGTTTTCGAAAGATCAAGAGAAGACAGCCTTCACCTGCCCTTATGGTACGTTCACTTACCGGAGGATGCCATTTGGGTTGTGTAACACCCATATCACTTACAAGAAGCAATAATAAATAGCTAAAACAAAAGAAATAAATTCAAGTAAGAGAAATTAAAAATTCCAGAACGTGAAATCTTGAAATTTACATTTCAGACAAAAGGCAATAGTAAGGCGTTTACAAACGATTAACGAGACGATAAATAACAACCTACTAATCTAGAATTTTCTACAACTAGATTAAAGACGGGTGTTTCTATCAATCTCCAAAAATACGGCATTTTCCAGCTTAACGCTCAAGAGAACGAGGCTTTACTACAAAAGAGCCTCTTCACGAAATAATGCTCCTCTCAACCCGTTTTGGCCCCGCTACTAAAAGAACCTGCTAAACAAGTCATACCAAAGAAGAAGTGTTAGGCTTACGCCTAGTGAGTCCAATTAAATCCRCAAGGTACAGAGARACCTGAAGTTATAAATRTTACCAGWTTAAGCACTGAAARGTCGCAGTTAAATTAAAATRTTGCCAGGAGTATTAAACATCAGAGATTGACGGGGGAGACCCGATTACCGTTGATTAAGACGAACACAAAGTAAGTCGTAAATCACCGTTATAGAGCGTCACTTATGGCATTAACCAAAATCCAGTCATTTAGCCATTCGTGATCGTAAGCTCTTCACCTCGGAAATTACACAATAATCACAATGCCTATTTCCGAGTGGTAGTGAAAGGATGATATGGAGGTTACATAATAATCACAATGCCTACCCCCAGTTCACACCATTCTTCACACATAATAAAATAAAACAATTTCCGAATACGAGCTTCATCCCATTTCAAAATAATTATTTGGATAAATAATAATTGGCATACGAGTACATATAATAATAATCCAACTTCAAGATTTAACAAGAGTCTACCAAAATAGCAAGTATGCTACTACTATCATTAGCAATTACCGGACGTAAATCATAAGATAATAGAGTTCTCTACATAGAACGCCTACAATTTCTAGATATAATAAGGCGCGTATACGACAACCCATACACCATCTTTTCTTCGAGTTATGCCCGTCTTGATACGACCCACTAGTAGGCTTTTTACGTAACTTTCTCGTCATATTTGACATTTCTTAGATAACAAATAAGTCCTCATCAACTAATATAAATTTCATGACTTTATATAC